GATTAGGGATAACATGGGAACCCTAAATAAGGTGTCATTAACGCTTGCTGTTTTTGCATGGAGGGATTTTGCGGGCCGGTGTAGAATTCTTTTAGAATGTTTTGTTTTTGGGAAAATCCCTCCATGTTTACATATTTTTGCTATGACATGATGGACTTTTTCTCTTGACATTTTTGGTATTTTATTTGATTCCAATTTGAGATTTTACCATTGTATGTTGTTATTCTTTCCATATTTTGTACTTATATTGAAGTTTTTGTGTTTGCTTCTGAATTGTACATATATTGTTTAATTTGATATAATATGGCTACCGCCACATTTTTGGATAGACGCGGTGGCTGCTGGACTTAGTGTCACTTACTAGCTATTGTAATAGATACTCTACGGAGTAATTTAGTCCTGGAAGAAACAAAAACATCGTAAGCCTCTGTATTTCCATTTTATAACAATATAGAGACGGTTTTCTCCTAGAATTTTTGGCCTTCTGATTTGGCTGGGACTTGGATCTAGGAGTATCGTACCGGTGTGTTTCTATTGGACGCGATTAGGACAGCCGCCGGCGAAATAAATTCTACAGGAGGCTCATTCGATGAAGTTGATAAACTAGTCCCTATAAGTGGACTTCTGACACTTTCTGTCTCCTCATTATCACTGTCACTACTAAAGTTCTGATGGCTACTATTTCCATGGCTAGTCGTAGCATCCGAAAGAGCATGAGGTTTAGGCTTCTTAGTAATAGCAGCATCAAGTTGTCTCCTAGGCTTCTTAGCCGTTACTGTACCACCATCACTTACCCTAGAATCTACTCTAGGTCCAGTTATATAATTTACCCTAACTGAAGGGTTCCGAAAATAAGCTTTATTCCGTTCAGTCAATCCTGCCTGGGCCTTCTTCATATTTACTGAATTCATTAACCTCTGATTACTCGAATCCAAATAACCGTTCCCGGCTTTTCGAGCAGCTAAGAGGCCTTTATCATCACACACTTCGGATCCATCTTGATGCCTACACTTTTCGCCCTTTTCTTCCTTCTCTACACATAGAAAAGCCATCTTATCTGTTACACCAACCGGCTTCTTGCTAGGACACGCATCAAGAGAATTTACATCGTTACGGTCACGTACTCGTCCTTCATCAGCGTATGCTTTCGTGATATAATTGACAAATCTCTTATCTTCCGAGCGTGCTTTAGGTAGAAACGAAGAATCCGAATGTCTCACACGCAGACCACTAGTAGCTTCCGTATTATTTCCTGTTTTAGCCTGATAAGCTAATCTTCCAAACCTACTACTAGCTATCTTAGCACGAGACATAATAAATTCCGTCAATTCGTTAAAATTGGGCTCTCTCTCCTCTTCGTCCCACTTGAATACTAGCTCTGCCCACTGGGCTTGCATTCGACGAGGTAAGAGCCTTACTATTCGTTCTAAAGTAGTCATAGAGTTAAGTTCAGCTGTGCAATTGAGCTGTTCTAAAGTTAAAGCAGCGTTCTGCATTTTAATAGCCAAGTTCGTCAATGATTCAGGATCATTAAATTCGACATTCCCAGTTCTAAATAAGTCCTCTAAGGTTTCTCGGGCTATTACATGCGTCTGTCCAAAGAGCTCTTTTAGAATGGCCTTAGCTCTCTTATATCCTGATTGTGGATCCATAATAATACAGCCTTCGATCGCATTTTTAGCTTTTCCCTTACAATAATGAATTAAATACAATAAACGCACTTGATCATCCTTGATTCGAGGTTCTATAAACGATTCTATTTGTCGTATGAACTTAAAATAGTCGCGAGACCTTCCGTCAAAATATGAGAGTTCAACCTTAGGTAATTCTAAACCCTCTATCGATGACTTACAATAATAAGTATCAGACATAACATGTGGGTTACCCATAAAAAATTCATCATTAACGACTTGCCTAGAGCTCTGTGATCCGTCGAGCTCTTCCACCCTCCTCATGTGTGATTTTTTTCTGATTGACATTATAAATAAAGTTCAATAAAGACGGTAACAATACAAAATAGAGTAATTCCAAAATTCAGTTCAAAATTACGATAAACGATTAAATTCCAAATGTTTCCTTGTAATTCTTAATAATCCAAATAGATCCACGAAAGATGAAATTCCACAAGGTATAGACCACGAACGGAGAAAATACCAGACTGTAGGTTTTATTTCGCCGGTGGCTGTGCTAATTGCTTCCAATAGAAACACTCCTGTACGTTACTCCTAGATCCAGGTCCCAGCCGAATCAAAAGGGCAAAATTTCTAGGAGAAAACGTCTCTTATTAATATAAAATGGAAATACAGAGTCTTACGGTATTTTTGTTTCTTCCAGGACTAAATTACTCCGTAGAGTATCCAGTACAATAGCTAGTAAGTGACACTAAGTCCAGCAGCCACCGCGTCTATCCAAAAATGTGGCGGTAGCCATATTATATCAAATTTAAACAATATATGTACAGTTCAAAAGCAAACACAAAAACTTCAATATAAGTACAAAATATAGAAAGAATAACAATATACAATGGTAAAATCTCAAATTGGAATCAAATAAAATACCAAAAATGTCAAGAGAAAAAAGTCCATCATGTCATAGCAAAAATATGTAAACATGGAGGGATTTTCCAAAAACACAAAACATTCAAAAAGAATTCTACTCCCTGGCAGTAGTGAATCAAATAGATTAAAGGCAAACTATCGTCATCTACTCGAGATTTGACAAAAGTTTCAAATTGAGGCATAAATTTCCAGTTTCCACTAGGTTGTCCATCAAAGAAGCTTAACTCACCCTTTGGTTATTCTAAGCCTACAACCGGCGGTATAGACATCAAGATTCTTATTCAAACTACAATTTTTAGTGTCCTCTTCCCCATGTGAGAGTGAACCATTTAAATTCAAAAAGGGATGAGGCTCTTGCTTTATAACAAAGGATTCGTAGTTCTGTTTGTCTTCACGGCTTCCAACCAGACTTGAGCTTGACTTCTTCTTACGAGAATTCCTTTTAATACCTTCAATTCAGGAGAAAGGAAACTCCAAATTAATGATACTGCATAGGGTTTTAAACTCCAATCTACCAATATTGATCAGAATTCAGAACTCACTGGTTCCATCTCCTTGACTTATTTTTGAGAGCTGGGATATGCAAAGGCCTCGTCTTCTTCAAGTATTGTTTAGAACTATAAGATTCAGAGTGGGCTATGATTTCGGAAAAACAGTTTAGATACGCTTCTTTCAAAACTAGAAACTATAACAAAATACAAACATTAATATCCCGAAATGGGATTGAACAGAATACCAAAATGTAGCTCAGAGGGAGTCAGTAAGAACATATTACAAATATGTACATGGAGGGATTTTCCCAAAACAAAGCCTTCAAAATGGATTCTACAGCAAGTACACAACCATCGTATTCATGGTGATCCTTTAATCACAACTTCTGTTGGGAACTAAGGCGCTAGTCTTGTTTATTTGTTGCGGTAGCGGCACCAGCCGTTAACCGAAAAATCCATGAACCAAAAACATAGATATTATGAATCACTCTCTCTCTCTCTCTCTCTCTCTCTATATATATATATATATATATATATATATATATATATATCAAATATATTATCCTATCACCAGCTCAAATTGTTTCCTCTAAGATTCGTAAAGGCTATAATACTTTCTATTAACATGAGACTTGTTAATACAGATGATGTTGTGATATTCACGTTCGACAATATATCTTAGGCAGTTATGCATGGAAAGTTTAGGGTACTGGATTAGGTTTATTATTCGATTAATGAAGGAGTTCGCTTTGATTTATGTATATATGCTTGAATATCCTGAAGCCTTATTTTCGAGAGAAGCAATCCTTAATTCTGAAACAATTTCTGGGTTTTAGTGATAAAAGTTTGTCCGTGCATGAACCGTTATTATAATCTGCCATGTACTCGACATGAAGTAAAAGGTTATGGCTTTTAATAGTTTATGGACATGTCAGATTGATGTGATTCTTAAAACGATGTGGATTCACTGAGTAGAAGAGAGTTGCCAAACGATCCGAGGGGTCGGCTTGAGCTGGAGAGGGTCTGATGATTGCTCTGGTATTGATCTTGAACACTATAATGACCAGTGAACTCTTTGTTATTGAGTAACCTACCTTTCAGATAACTTAGATATGACCAAGTGATATTTCCACTAACCTAGAATATCACTGAGGTGAGATTTTCTGAAACTCAAACGTGCGTTTTGTTGCCCAGCAAACTGATAGGGAAAAACGTAGCTAATTTTATTCATGCCTAAAGATCTATTGAAGATTAGTACAATTTATTTCGTAGCGAAGAACACAGTTGTGCTAGCTTTCTTAAAACGGTACAAAATCACTTAAAGTATAGTAAAATACTTAGTCCATGACGCTCTAGGTAACAAGAGTAGGGCATAGCCAACATTTTGTGCTATATTTCTTTTCACCTATTAAGAAAAGAACAAAGATGATTTCAGTGAGACATAGGGGTCAACACGCACCTACGACAAAATGATTAAGCCTCTATTTGCATCCCTAATATTTTCAGGAGAAGTATTTTATTATTGCAATGCTTCTTCTTTTCACCACCTAAGCAGAAGCCACTCGTCTCTTAACTAACATTTAAATCATTTGTAATCTCAAGGTTGGTTGACGCGATCCTTTGGAAGGCGCGATGTTGAACAGAATGAATTTTCATTCTAATACTATATCATACCAAGGAAGAAGGTATGCATTGGAGATACACTATAACAGTTTTAGAATGAAAATTCTACTAGTAGTTTTGGCTGTCATCAAGCTACTAAAGGTGATCTCTGTCTACTCTACATATGAACTATTGAAAAGTTCTAATCCTTTCACTATATTAATTGCTTTAAAATTTACGTAAGCTTGTTAATTTCTTTGCTATATATCAATTCTAGTGCATCAGTTATAATGATTTTACTGCAAAAACCTTTTAATGGACCCAGATTGAGTATTACTGAGGTCTGTTCTTTAGTTTCTTGGTGTTTATTTCCAGTGGTTTTACGTCCTAAAATACTCATTTGTCCGTCTACTGATTGATGCACTTTGGATTGAAGGACTTATACTTTGTGGTCCTTTCAGGTAATTTATTGTTAGAAAGACTTCTTACAATCAGGTTTATTTTGTTGTTCGAGCATAGTGAACTGTTGATTATTGCTTCAGCTAGTACATTTATCTTCGGGTCCCAGTGCACTAAAAAAGTATCTCAAATTTTAGATTTAAAAACTTGTAGACTCGAGGATCAGTATTCTTTTTGATTGGTATATTATGTTTGGTATTTTTCGACCACGACTACAGTCATGGGGAGACGGAGCATCGTATCCTTTTCATCACATTTTTTAACTTAGTAGTATAACATTAATTCTTTATTTAAAATTGTTTGAATAACTTGCCAAAAGTACTCTCAGGGGCTGTCCGCACTTCATTGTATTTCACCATGTGAAACCGGACTTCAATAAATTTGCCGTTCTGAGGTTGACTCATACGTTACGTGTATTTTTATCCAAAAGCTTGAATGAATTCCAGTGGATGTGATATACGAAACTCCATTTTGTTGTGACTTAAACGGCCTACATGTTTGCGCATATCCCTTTGTCACTAAATTTATTATTTAGATCTATTTACATGAGGTTCACATTGCTACTTAGTTGCCCAAGTTGATTCCATTTTATTGAGTGTTGGGGAATGTTTTACGGAATTCCTTTAGTGAACATACAGGTAGATTTTTCAGTTGAAACTAGTGTACTGCGTTCTGCTAAACTCTAATGTTGAAGGAAGTTTCGAAATTTTCTATAATTACGAATTATTGGTACGTCACAGGGTATGAACTAGATGTTACTGCAGGTTACGTTGTGTTTATTTAATACATTTACAGCTAAAGAGTGAGTATTTTTCAGTTTGAATAGTCTGCGAATGATGTAGTATATCTCTATACGAGAAGTGGTTTTATTCTATGGAGCTTTTAGTTAGTCTTATTGTCTGATTTTTATTTATTTAATGACATAAGCATTGATACAAAAGGGCAGCCAAATATTTATGCCTTACACAAACCAATGAATTTCTGTGTAGACCAGGGATGTTGTCTGAACTCAAGCCGAAGCAGGTGGTTTTCTTAGAGGACCGTTCACCGAACCTTCGGCTAAGATATCTCATCTATAAGACCGTGAAGCAACTTTAGGAGATTGAATCCAATGGTGGCCGGTGACCAACAATAGGTTCATAAAGTACCTGTTCCGTCAGTATTCTGGAGTCTATATACACCACTGGATTAGGATCAGGGTTTTCCAATCCTCTTAGGTGGAACCTCTGTACCTCCTAACCGGATTTAGGTATCGTATATTCGTTTTTCGTCTCCTCAATTTCATAAACAGCACTTTCCACGAAAAGGCATTGAAAAAGACTTTAGTTAAGGCTGTACATGCATAGCCATATAACAACACTTGTAGACAGATTGCTGTCGGTTGTACCAAGGCATGTGTAATGGTCTACTTCTAACCGTAACACTTCATACTCTAGTGTTTGATCTTTTACATACGAAATATATATTCACTTAACTCCTGTCGCTAATATTGTGCAGCTGAAGGGGTTCATAAAAGTTTCCTGATCCATCATTTATATGAATTATTTGTAAACTTTGGACTTTCAGATCACAAGGTAAGAGCATTCAGTATTCTATGTGTATGTCACTAATTTTTTAAGCTACATCTCATGAACCTCTACCAGATATATCTTTTGCGATGCAATTAAAATAGATATCGTAATTATTATCATGAGGCAAAATAGTTACCAGCAGTTTTTTAGTATTAACTACTTCAACTACCTCCATTGTTACTGGATTAGTGTTTAGGAAGGATTTGATTGTGACCTATTCGATCTCGTGTGCTTTTACGGGTATGAGGGCGGATGTCACTTCCTGGCTGTCCACACTGTGGAAGGGAACTTCTTTAGGAACCTGAAAAAGAAATCGGATTAGCGTTTGCTTGAGCTACCTGCTTTTCGATCATAGTCGCTTCCGAAGCATCGCTCTTATATCCTGGGACTATCGAGTGAGCAATGTTGTTGTTAGGAAACATATAATAGGTAAGGACGGAAGATCAATTGATGACGTATTGAAACTTTGTCAGTTGAGGTTGTTGGGACATGTGCTACAAATACCTAACCACCGACTACCTCATCGAGCTGTTTTGCGGTGTAGTATTAGGTTGGAGCGAAGATAGCGACGGCCAAAACAAAACATGGCACAAATCCATGAAGTCACTGACAACTAGAGTGAATCATGTTGGTAAGTGTAGACTACCTGGTTGGGGTCCACAAGATGATAGAAACCGATGATTAATGACCCTGAATGACATGGCTCTAAACCGTCTGTAATGACGCAGGCGCATCCATTCTATGGCTTCTATCAAATCCAAATCTTATGAATTCCACATGACCGTTTTTTTATCTGATTCCTCTGGTGTATACACCTTGAATGATATTTTCGATGATTAATCTTTTTGATAACTACTAAAACGTCTACTACCTCTACTGCTATGGGGTTTGAATCGACAATTTGATCTCTCTGTGCTAATTTAGTATGACAACCTGAACCGATGTACGCACGTACGAATTTCTACGTTGTAACTAACTGAAACAAACTGGCGACGATGAGTACTGAAATCTAACGTTAGCGCTGTATTCTACCTGTTATTGACGGATCAACCTCTTAACCTCAAATTTATTTTATAATTTTGTTTATCTTCAAAGCAGGTTATTTGTAGTAACGTGCATAGTATCCACCCTTCAGGAGTAATAGTAGTACGTCTAAACCCGTCTGCCAGAAAAGTAAAATTTGAATGGACTTTTTGTTTATCACATTTGCATCTCATGGCAGTTAGTCGGTCATCAACAACATTTAGCCTTATATACGTCTGTTGAAGTCCCCAAACCACGCAGGCACAGCAAAATGAGGTTATTAATCTAACACTAAAGTAGCTGAACTAATAGTAACATCAGTTTTAGTAAAAAAGACTAGGCATTGTCAGTTTGATTTTTAAAGAAGTTTTAATTTACATTAAAAAACGCCAATTAATTTCGATGTGTAGTTATCTAAGGGAGTCTAAAGTGCATCCACTCTCAAGATTGCGGATGATTTTGACACAGAAAAACTAGCTGAAAAGTAGTTCAGTTCATTCATCAGATAAGTAAGTATGAGTGAGACTCTAAGTGCTAAAACTAATAATACTACTCAGTTGCCCAAACTCAAGTGAGCTAGCTGTACGGCGTTTGAACCTGAATGTGAATTGCTGAAAGTCGAACACCGTAACCACTAAAGCATCACTTAAACGAATTAAATATCGTTTCTAATGACTGGTTTGTTTTCTTAATGGTCTTGACGATGCCTCCAAAATTGTGTACATTTTTATTCATAGTCGGTTCTAATGAAGTACCTTAATAGATTCCCGATTCGCTTGTTGTGTTATATATCCTTTATTCACATGGTTGTGAATATAGGAGGCCTAATCATTGTTTTTTGTTTAATATTGTTTCTTCACAAATCATGTATTATCAGATAATGAGTAAATGTGATAATTTTTTGGTGTATTGGAAAGGCTTTTGCCGAATTGACAAATGTGAGAAAATGATGTGATAGTTAGAATACTTTGTTTATCAGCTAACTTGTAAATTATCATCAATACTTTCCTTTTAAAAGGTTGGTGTTGTTGTCTTAATCAGTGCTGTTTGTTTGGACGCTGGGCTAGCTTCTATTTCTAGGACGTTAGTGACATCTCTCGGAGGTGCTAAACGTTTATACAGCCTTTCTGCGTTAATCAGCTTCATCATCTTGATTCCATTATTCCTTCTTACTCACTTCTTAAGCGGAAGTTCCATTCACGTCGAGGTAATTGAGTTTTTATACTTTGATTCGTTGTTTTTTCCATAAACACTGTCATATTGTTTTAATATTTCATAATCAGGTATTGAGTTGTTCAGTTCTTCAGACTATTAAAATATGATTGAACTTTTTGTAAATACTTTATCATATATTGGTGTTCACAAGGCGTTTAACAATAAAGTTAAATTCAATGCTATTTGTGATTTGTATATTTTTAAAAAATAAAATGGGAAAAATCATGTTTCACGAACTGATTTAAAAATTTATACAACTGTGATTGCAAATCAGTTGTCCACTAAATGTATTGAAGTCTAAAAAGAACGATGGTTGTTTATCAGTCTATACTACTCGCTGATTTTCATGGGAATAGAAAATGTAATATTATTACTATTTTAAGGATAAATGTTTGTTTATACAGGCAAGCTTGTATAGAAGTGGTTTATTGTATGTATCCTATTTTTTCAGTTTTCTCGGTATTTCTTTCTAATTTTGCATGGTCAACTCTCAGTGTTCTGAGTTTTCAATGTTAATTCGCTAAAATATACTCTGAAATAACATGAAAACTCTGTTTTGAAAAAAACTCAGTGTTTAGTACTAAAGTAGTCGTTCCAACTGCTGACCGAAGCTGCTACCTTGACGTGGTGGTCGGGCTTGCCTATCGTGATGACCCTACCGATCTATATTGGCTGAAACTTATGTTCCTGAAGGTTCTACCATGCCAGGCAGGTCGACTGGAGAACGATGAGATGGATTCGTCAGCACCTCTACCTTTGTCTTTCTAACCTGATCTGACTGAATTATACTTCTTAAATAATATCTTCAAACCCTAGTCTTCTTCATTACCATTACCTCTACTATCTTTATGACTATGGGATTGGATTTGACATTTGCATCTCTGTGCTAATGTGGTATGGCAACATGAACTTATGTACATACGTACGAAGTTCTACGTTGCAACTAACTGACTGAGTCGTTCCAACCCTGTGATTCACTTTGAAATACATTCAGAAAACCACTTTCATTTGATAAAATTCTTTAGATATCGATCGACACACTAAAGTGGTATGTGTATCAACCTAAGGATTCGTAGTCCGATACCTGTATCTTTTATTTCTGTCCACTATATGGTCTTTGATCTGATTAAGTTTCTTACCAGTTGTTGATATATTTGCTTATCGCTCGGGTGACCCAATACAATTACGCATCCAAAGATCCTTCATGTACTTTTAAAATTCACGGTTCATTGAAATAATTTACCCTAGTCCCTATACTTGTTTATACCACTTAAATATACAACTGACATGAAGTTTCGTCCCATTTAGAACGCGCCTGCTTTATAGTGTTGATATTTACTTTTAAACTTGAAATTGGTTCCTTTGTTTTCAAATACCAACGCGTTATCCACTCAACTATTGAATCCACCTACTGGCTTTCACAACGGCGATGAATTATAATTCGATCGTAAGGGTTTGAATCTTGCCATTATTGATATCCCAGAGTGAACACCACTGTAATCCAGATTTGTGTCGTGTATTTCACTGCTGGTCACTGTCCAACTGTGCTTAAAAGTGCTTCTGACTGAGGGCATCACTCAAACAAACCGCTCATAAGTCACATACACATACATACCTTTTAAAATACACAATATCTGTACTATTTGTAAAATCTAAAACATATTATTTTGATGTTCTGGGTTCTTATTTTCTTATCCCACAGGAACAGTCAAATCTCTTGAATATGGTAGAAAATGTTGATAATCCAATATCTCATGAATCATCCCAAAGCATTCCACAAAGAGATTGGCTATTTTGGATGGTTTTTACAAGTATTATGCATGTAATCGATTTCTATGTGACCAGTCTAGTTAGTGGACGACTTGGTGCACAATCAGTGACTCGTCTTGCTAAATTGACCGTTGTTATAACCAGCCTCGCATTCAGGTTGTTTTATTGTTTTTTTTTATTCCTGCTTTAACTTTTATGACATTCATTATAAAGCAGTTTTATAATTTACTATAAAACTAAGTTGATATTTTGTTTGTTCACTATGTGCACCCTTGAAATTGTTGTAATCTGTGATCTGCATAACTCTATGCAGTGTGTAGGAATAGATTGGAAGAAAGTTAGGGGCGGCCAAACCAAAACATGGCAGAAATCCATGAAGTCATTGACGAGTGGACTTAGCCATGTCGGTAATTGTCGACTACCTGGTTGGACCCGCAACAGCACACGAGACAAAATTGTTCAAAATCAAATCCTTCCTACATTCCCTAATACCTCTCTTATCTCCACAACTAACTCTTCTCACATTCATTTATTACAGTGCACAGCTAATGCAAACGATGCGAGTTTGCGAAACGTCGTTCCTGGTCTCCTTAAACCCCGTTCCAAACTACATGTTGGAGCATTCAATGTACGGACATTGTGTCAAATAGGGCAACAGGCGTCATTAGCTAGGACTTTAGAATCTCGTTCCATCGATGTGTGCTGCGTCTCAGAAACGCGCATACAGGATCCGAGTAGCATCACTCATTTGACCTCACCATGTCAAGATAAAGAAGCAGCTCGATTTACCCTTCGTGTATCCGGTAGCCCTGATGCTGCTTCCAGGGGCCTCGCCGGTGTAGGTATAGCATTGAGTCGTAGGGCAGAACAATCTCTCCTTGACTGGATCCCTGTAGATAGTCGCTTGTGCGCCGTCTGACTCAACGGGACAGTAAGGACTCGGAAAGATAGGGACACTCGCCGTTGCCTCTTCGTCATATCAGCCTACGCCCCCACTGACTGCAGCCCAGATGATGTAAAAGATGAGTTTTACAGAAAGCTTTCGGACCTCCTCCAAAAAGTTAAGCGCTCTGATATAGTTATAATGGCTGGTGACTTCAATGCACAAGTAGGTAGACTAAGTGAAAATGAAAGACACCTAGGTGGATGTTACGGTCTCGCGGCTCAAAGAACAGACAATGGCGAGCGTCTGTTGCAACTGTGCTCAGATAACCAACTATTTCTAGCAAACACTAATTTTAAGCATAAGGAAAAACACCTTTTGACCTGGCGACCCCCGAAGTCGTCTCAACGTTGGACACAACTAGATCATATCGCCATCAGCCACCGATGGAGGGGTTCGATAGAGGACTGTCGCTCGTTCTGGGGCACATGTTTAGATTCAGATCATGCCCTAGTGCGAGCACGTATTTGTTTGAGGCTTGCTGGACGTAGGAAAGACACCGTAAGGAAGCCTCTTAGGGCTTTACTTGATGATAATCAAGCTAAGAAAATATTTCAGGAGGAACTAGAAAAACAGTTGGGCGATCATGCAAGTGATTTCCATCCGGAGTCAGGTTGGAATGATATAAAGAAGGCTGTGGAAACAGCAGTGATATCTGCTAGCAAGGTAAACCACAAGGCTAGGATGAAGCCGTGGATTTCAGTCGCATCCACCGAACTGATGGATGCACGAAAACGCATCCCACCTGACTCTGAACATGATGAAGAGCGTACTCAACTTAGGCGCAGACTTATAAAAAGCCTACGTAACGACCGTGAACAGTGGTGGGTGGCGAAAGCAAAAGCGATGGAAAAGGCAGCGGCGATAGGCAACACTAGACAACTTTTCCGCCTTATTAAAGAAACCGGTATTAGGAACCCGAATGTGAGTGAGACTATCTCGGAAAAGGATGGTCTTATTATCCATTCTCAATCTAGGAGGCTGGACCGATGGGCAGAACACTTTAGGGATCAGTTCAACTGGCCTTCAGCCACTCTTCGGTTGCCCACGATCTCCAGTCATCCTGAATGGCAAATCGATTTAAGTCCTCCCAGTTTACATGAAGTTGAGAAAGCTATAGGAAATCTAAGGAGAGGTAGAGCGGCAGGTCCCGATAGGCTTACCCCTGAGATGTTTAAAGATGGTGGTCCAGTTTTAACGGTTAAACTGACCGAGATCCTAGGTAGAATCTGGGAAATGGACGTAATCCCATCTGACTGGTCTCAATCACTGATTGTCCCAATCTACAAGAAAGGACAGAAGTCCTCTTGTGACAATCACAGGGGAATAAGTCTAACTAATATAGTATCTAAAATATTGGCCTCAATAATACTTCGACGCTTAACGAAAGCTCGTGAAGAGCAGACTCGAGAAAACCAGGCTGGTTTTCGACCTGGACGTGGTTGTATAGACCACATCTTCACACTACGACAGGTCCTGGAACACAGACACACATTTAGACGTCCGACAATAGTCGTGTTCCTGGACCTTAAGGCGGCATTCGACTCAGTGGATCGTGAGGTTCTGTGGCAGTGTCTGTCATTGAAAGGTGTACCAAAGAAGTACATTAACCTTATACAAGCACTCTACTCGAACACCACTGGTCGGGTGAGAGCATATGGCGAACTGTCATCTGAATTCTCTACATCAAGTGGTGTCCGTCAGGGCTGCCCACTCTCTCCATTCTTGTTCAACTTTGTCGTAGACATCCTCTTAGAGTTAACATTAAGCTCGTCAGATTTTTCAGGGGTTGACCTTCTACCAGGAAAGTCGCTTACTGATCTAGAATATGCCGATGACATAGTTCAATTCGATGAAGACGCTGACAATATGCAGAGTCTTCTGACTACCATAAGCAACAATGCGAGCATGTTCGGGATGCGGTTTTCCCCCTCGAAATGCAAAATGTTGCTTCAAGACTGGGTTGCATCGGCACCTGAACTAGTGATAGGGAGTGAAGTAGTCGAGCGTGTAGATCACTTCACTTATCTGGGGAGTCTCATCAGTGCTGACGGTCTGGTGACTGACGAAATCTCAGCTCGGATACAGAAAGCTCGATTGGCCTTTGCCAACCTGCGTCACTTATGGCGTAGGCGTGATATCCGTTCGCTAACCAAAGGGCGGGTGTACTGCGCAGCAGTTCGTTCCGTTCTCTTATATGGCTGTGAAACATGGCCGTTAAGAGTAGAAGATGTTCGTAGGTTACTAGTATTCGATCATAGATGTTTAAGAAGCATTGCTCGTATATCGTGGGACAGCCGAGTAAGCAATGCTGTCGTTAGGAAACGAGTACTAGGTAAGGATGGCAGATCAATAGATGAAGTACTGAAACTTCATCAGTTGAGGTGGTTGGGACATGTGTTACGTATGCCTAACCACCGACTGCCTCGACGAGCTATGTTTTGTGGTGTAGGAGTAGGTTGGAAGAAAGCTAGGGGCGGCCAGACCAAAACATGGCAGAAATCCATGAACTCACTGACAAGTGGACTGAGTCATGTTGGTAGATGTAGACTACCTGATTGGGGTCCGCGAGACGAAAGTCATCAATGGTTAGAGACCTTGAACGACATGGCTCAAAATCGTTTGCAATGGCGCAGGTGCATCCACTCTTTGAGCTCTCTCAAATCCTAATCTTCTGGATTCATCAGCACCTCTACCTTTGTCTTTCTAACCTTATCTCACTGAATTATATTTTTTGAATAATATCTTAAACCCTAGTCTTCTTTATTATAACATTAATACCTCTACTATCTCTATCACTATGGGATTTGATTTGACATTTGCGTCTCTGTGCTAATAATGTGGTATGGCAACATGAACTTATGTACATACGTACGAAGTTCTACGTTGCAACTGACTGACTGACTGACTACCTGGTTGGGGTCCGCGAGATGATAATAATCGATGGTTAGAGACCTTGAATGACATGGCTGAAAATCGTTCTCAATGGCGCCGGTGCATTTATTCTTTGTTTTCTCAAATCCTAATCTTCTGGGTTCTTCAACACCTCTAGTTTTGTCCTTCTAAACTTTTCTCATTTAATCATACTTCTTGAATAATATCTTCTAATCCTAACCTCTCCGATTACTCCTAATACCTTTACTACCTCTTCTACTATTGGATTTGAATTGACAATTACATCTGTGTACTGATGTGGTATGGCGACATGAACTGATGTACTTACGTGCAAAGTTCTACGTTGCAACTGACTGACTGCATAACTCTATCATGAAGCTTTCTTAATCTTTCTGAACGAATACAGGTAAAACTTTCAAATTAAAGTACCGCATGAGTTTCTTCAGACTTGTATAACAGTTCATTCTGTTGACAGAAGATTCGCTTGTTAATTAAAGTTATTCATACCTTTCTCTAGTTATTGGATATTTGAAGTGTCAGTGAAAAAAAGTGGAATCGTGGCTTTATTTGAATCGGCTATTAAAATGGTGATCTTTTATTGGTTGTGGATATTTTTGAATTTCATTGAAATCATGAAATAGTTTAAGGTGGACAACCGTTGAAAACCTGGAAACACTAGATGGCCGTTTCGTCCTAGTCTGATACTCTCGACCGTTGAATCCTGGTTCAGAGATCTAGAATGCGACTGAAGGTCCAGGGTTCGATTTCCCGCTTGTCAGGTCGTACATGTGAACTGCTAGGGAGTTCCAAACTAGGACAAAAGGGTCATCCAGTGCTTTCAGATTTTCAACGGTTACCTAGCTTAAATCGGTTTGTGATTAAAATCACAATCTCTTACCTAGACCAAATTTTGAATGGATTCACATGCTATGTACTAATAGCATTACGTCATTGCCCGTCATTTAAATGACCTCAGTCAAACTAACTACATAATTGTGGTTAGATTTCAATTGACTAGTTCGATGGTTCATAACTAAAGTAAATGTGAATATTGCAATTTTGTCTAATCATTTTGAAACACTAAAAGACAATAGAAAGGCTAAGAGGTTTTACTTATATCATTTGAAAGATTAGGATTTCAGATTCCATTCCTTGATGATCATATGATCAATTATCTTATTTTTTGTAAAATTAACAACAAATAAGATAATATTATCAAGGATCTATATTTTTCCTGTTGTTAATGTTCACAACTAGAAATGATCAATCTCTGTTATTATCTATGCATTCTATATCGCCCTTACTTACTTACTTACTTACGCCTGTTACCCCCAGTGGAGCATAGGCTGGCCGCCCACCAGTTTTCTCTAACCAACTCTGTCTTAGGCTTCGCTTCCTAGTTCTGTCCGATTTTTGTTCATTCTTCTCATATCTTTCTCTATTTCTCGGCGTAATGTGTTCCTTGGCCTTCTTCTTTTCCTTTTGCCTTGAGGGTTCCATGTGAGGGCTTGTCTTGTGACACAGTTAGGTGCTTTTCGTACTGTGTGTCCTATCCACTTCCACCGCTTCCTTCACTGGAATCTGGTTTTTTCTCTCCCACAGTACGTTGTCGTTGATAATGTCTGGACAACGAATCCGAAGTATTTCGCCCTTGAATACGAAGCCAAATATACGAAATAGGAGATAGTAATTAGAATTGTTTGAAATCTTTAGATTTACGACGAAAATAGTTATGTGGATGAGCAAGTTTCATTTTCTGATTATGTCGAAGGGGGAATGAAGAAACAAAATTTCAAAAAAAAATGTTTTACGTGACGAATTTGGCATGCTTTTTTCATTTCCCCTTATTTCTACACATTTGAGCGGTTATTAGCGATTGATCTTTCCGCTACAAAATTCATTACATCAATTAGAAGTGTGAATATCAACGTTGATTATCACTTAACTAAACCATGTCCAACTGATTATTAAGTGAAACAAATCATTTTCAACAAAGTGAACACTTGTTTTTTAGCTGTATCAGATTCATATACTGTGTTTCTTCATAGCTAACATCTAATTTAGATTTTAAACTTGATTTTAGGCAGCTGTTATTTTTCTAGTTATAGTATTTATTACTTATTTTTTAATCGCTTTCTAGTTACATGGATTGCTAAATTCTATTGTTAATAATTTGAAAGCAAACACCGCATATCCTATCTAATGCCATTCTTAAACTTTTCATTAAAATTTTCAGCCTTTTATGGACATCTTCAGATTCTGTTGGACAATTTGTTTCATCTGATCATAATGAGATTCATGTGAATAGTTTCTTACTTAAGCATCAAATTTCTGTTGGAGTATTTGTTGCAGTTGTTTGTATTTTATATGGTAAGCTATTGTGTGTAATCTTGATATTGAATACTTTTAGTGGTATGTTTGTTTTTGTGGTAGTACACAAATCAGGTTAATGACGAAATAAGGAACACAGTATACTTCTAATAACTCTTCGACCCATTCTTCCAAAATAATCGGACGTGTTATTACTATTACGTTTTAGTACTATCCCAGCCGACAATGAGACTGTAGAAAAATGTCTAGGTGTTTATAGAAAACGTCGGTTTGTTCCTATAACTCGGTCACTAAAAGTAAAGATTTTGCAGCCTTGAGTCCAATTGCATACATAAAGTTTATAAGTTCAGAATGTCATTTGAAACATTCTTTATTTGGGCTTAATTTAGCTTAATGCATCATTCCTGGGTTTAATGCATCTGACAATTGTTATTAATGTTCCACTTAGTCTGAGATCCACTTTTCGTGGAATTCTCTTTTGTCATCGAATGATAACTGTCCCTCTTTGGGTTTAGGACAAGTTTATCTTGTCTATTGTTTTAACTGCAACCGAGATTAATGTGTATCGATGCTAGGAAAAAGACGTAGAATCTTGTTATTTGAAGATTGATTTCGTGACCCAAAGCTAAAGACTTCTTCATTCATCAGTTACAAATACATTCATTTATATACATCTTTACTTTCGTCGATTATTTGTCAATGAAGGTCACACAGAATTAATAGAAAACAAATTATCACACTGAATAAATACAACAAATATCATACATATGTTACACAACTTATACATGGTTTTTCACCTTTAACTCTCCTTTTACAACTAACTAAGCTGGTTCAGATGATCATATTTTTCTGAAGAGAGACTTAATAAATAGGTTTCAGTGTATGAGTTTAGTATGGGTTGTGGTTATCCTTTCATTTGTGTTTTTTTTTCGCTGTCTGTCATCAATTAACAACTACTATGATTTGTAACTAGAAGTTTCAAATTTTAAGTTTCTTATTTAAATTAAACTGAAATCACAAGAAAAAAAATTGGATACGTAGAGTATTTTAAAAAATCCATTTCCTCAATAGCTGTATAAAAAAGCAGTTTCATACTGCCAGACATTGAAATAGTTATTCGGATGAATGGACTTTGCAATTACAGTTATCATAAAGTTCTTTTAATTCTCATATTCACTGACTAGTTACTCATTTATTTAATTAGACTACATGATATTGAGCTACCATATTTGTTGTATAATAATGTAACCAGTTGTCAACAGTGTTATAAACTGTGTATATATGACTTTTAGAAATATTTCATTTCTGATGGTGGTTTTACCCCCATGTTAAGGATTAAAACCCTTGACTCCATTTGACGCCAATTTAGTTTCACCAATTTGGCCTAACAAGTAATATCACTACAACTAAAAAAACAAACATAAAATGCGGTGGTAAACCTGCTGCATAGATTTGTGCTTAGTCACTGATTTATGGTGATAAGTTTTGATTTATTTTAGTTGACTCAGTTGTTTCCTTCTTTTCCTCGGTGATTCTAGATTCGTTTAGTGTCTAGATTCTAGAAAATCTACAACTAATAGTGTAGTAGGATCTTGTAGTTGGCCAGACACTATCAGCAACAACTTACTGTGGGAGAGAACAAACCAGATTCTCGTGGAGGAGGAAGTCAGGAACAAGCGGTGGAAGTGGGTAGGACACACGCTGCGAAAAGCACCCAACTGCGTCAAAAGACAAGGCCTCACCTGAAACCCTCAAGGCGAAAGGTAAAGAGGAATGCCAAGGAACACATTACGTCGAGAAATAGAGAAAGATATAAGAGGAATGAATGAAAATTGGACAGAACTGGAAAGGGAATCCGAGGACATAGTTGGTTGGAGAAAACTGGTGGGCGGCCTATGCTCCATTGGGGGTAACAGGCGTGATCAGAAGAGACTTCAGTTGGGTCAATGAAAATTCCCCCTTACAAAGAATGTCGTTCAAATGATTATATACCATTCCTCAGTCATTATGCAACAATATCATGGAATATGCTATTATTCATCATATCCTTTTCAAAGGAAAGTTAATGAAATTGTAGTCTCTGACAAATGGTTATCATATGTTGATTTACTTACAATAAAATCGATAAAATAAGTTGTCTGGTTTTAAAATGATTTGTAATTTATTACTATCATTATTTTTAATAAAGATTTATATCCTTAAATTTCACTTTTCTTTCAATACAGCTTCAGATCTTTTAACTACAGATAAATCTGGTTATGGTCCAGAAGGTATTTCAAGTGGTCATTTTATTGGTTATTCCATGGCTGGTTTACCTTTATTTACTGCTGGACAAACACCTACACATGGTGCTGCTTTTTTAACGCATTCAGATGAATTTGGTCTATGGTATCATTTACGAGCTACTTTTCATGGCATTTTAACTGGACAAGCTTCACGTCGCATTTTCGCATTCTTATGTTTAAATTTAGTAAGAATTATGTATAATTTACTAGTGTTTTTTAAACATACAGTCTGTTTATTTTCATTACTTATAATATGTGAGCTATAAATGGTTAACTACAATGTTTTAATTCTTATGGCCACTAGTAAATGTGTTGGAAATAAGTTGTGTTAAGTTATTTGTTTTCACTACGGTGTGCCTGAGAAAATAGTTAACATCTTACGGAATTCTTATGATGAATTCAACTGCAAAATTGTACACGAAGGACAGCTAACAGACTCTTTCGAGGTGAAGACCGGTGTCAGGCAAGGTTGCTTACTCTCACCCTTTCTCTTTCTCCTGGTGATCGTCTGGATTATGAAGACGTCGACATCTTGAGGGAAGCGCGGTATCAACTGGACAGTTAGGATGCAGCTGGACGATCTGGACTTCGCAGATGACCTGGCTCTTCTATCGCACACTCAACAACAAATACAAGAGAAGACGACCAGTGTAGCAGCAGCCTCTGCAGCAGTCGGTCTCAACATACATAAAGGAAAGAGCAAAATTCTCCGATGCAACACAACATGCACCAACCAAATCACTCTTGATGGAGATACCTTGGAGGACGTTAACACCTTTACATATCTGGGCAACATCATCGACGAGAAAGGTGTATCCGATGCAGATGTGAAGGCGCGGATTGGCAAAGCAAGGTCTGCATTTCTACAGTTGAAAAATATCTGGAACTCCAAACAACTTTCAACCAAAACCAAAATCAGGATTTTCAATACAAATGTGAAGACAGTTATACTGTATGGAGAGGAAACTTGGAGAACTACCAAAGCCATCATCTAGAAGACACAAGTGTTCATTACCAGTTTTCTTCGCAAAATACTTCGGATTCGTTGGCCAGACACCATCAGCAACAACGTACTGTGGGAGAGAACAAACCTGATTGCAGAAGAGGAGGAAATGAGGAACAAGCGTTGGAAGTGGATAGCACACACTACGAAAAGCACCTAACTGAGTCACAAGAAAAACCCTCACATGGAACCCTCAAGGCGAAAGGAAAAGAGGTAGACCAAGGAACACATTACGTCGAGAAATAGAGAAAGATATGAGAGGAATGAACAAACATTGGACAGAACTGGAGAAGGAAGCCCAGGACAAAGTTGGTTGGAGAAAACTGGTGGGCGGCCTATGCTAAATTGGGGGTAACAGGCGTAAGTAAATAAGTAAGTACAGATGCAACAGTTTATTTTACAGATGATATTTGGCTTTTATTCTTTTGTGATTTCATCCTTTAATTTGAAGTGACTTTTTCAGTTTGTCGTACGTACGTACGTACATCGGTTCAAGTTGTCATACCACATTAAGACAGAGAAATGGCATTGTCAGTCCAAATCCCATAGTGGTAAAGGTATTAGCAGCACTAGTGGTAATGGAAAGGATTAGAGATCGAGGAAATTATCCCAGAAGTACAATCCAGTAAAGCAAGTTTAAAAAGGGGAAAAAATGTTATCAGTTCAAAAATTAAAAATTGGGAGAACACAAAGAATAGATGGACCTGAGCTATTTTGCAAACAATTTCGAGCCATGTTAAAATCTCTAATCAGAAGTGATTTTGTTGGTTTATACGTTACGCCTATTCTAAATGACCCCAATAATCTTGTTGTAAATACCGATATATCTTTCATAAATGATACAGTGATTCATCTATTAGTTCCCATATTTGATTTCATTTTTCATGAAGCCGCATGGATAGTCGTTCTTTTGAATCCATTAAATATTTCTTTTTATTTTTCGCGCTCTAAGTGTACCACAGCTTGTCATCACTCTATTTGTGTGTGTTCTCAAGTATTTGATGCGTTGATTGGCTCCTAATATGCCTGAATCTCCAGTTTTCTTGTATTGGTCCTGATGATCAACATATCGAGGAGTGGTAACAGGCTGTTTGACTTCTTTTGTCGGCGTCTTCACTGAACACAACAATGTCATCAGCATATTCTAAGTCAACAAATGGATTTTCTGGTAAAAGTTCAACTACTGAAAAGTCATAATTAATATACATGTTAACTTATAAGAATCACTTATAAATAATTATTTAGATCAAAGTAGGCAATTTGATAATTGATCATATTCGTGATTATTTGAGTCAATTATTGACACTCATAACTGAAATATGTAATGAAGTTAAAATAAATAACTTACTTACTTACTTACGCCTGTTACCCCCAATTTAGCATAGGCCGCCCACCAGTTTTCTCCAACCAACTTTGTCCTGGGCTTCCTTCTCCAGTTCTGTCCAATATTTGTTCATTCCTCTCATATCTTTCTCTATTTCTCGGCATAATGTGTTCCTTGGTCTACCTCTTTTCCTTTCGCCTTGAGGGTTCCATGTGAGGGTTTTTCTTGTGACTCAGTTAGGTGCTTTTCGTAGTGTGTGCTATCCACTTCCAACGCTTGTTCCTCATTTCCTCCTCTTCTGCAATCAGGTTTGTTCTCTCCCACAGTACGTTGTTGCTGATGGTGTCTGGCCAACGGATCAGACGTATTTTGCGAAGACAACTGTTGCATCTGTGTGATATATTATATCGGACAACGTGGATTACCTCCTCTTCTTCATCTGTGTAAACTTAAATGTGCTGTCAAACCCCATGTTTTATCTTCATTTGTGCGTAGATAGTTAAAGACTTGTTCGAACGGAAAAGTGTTAAGGTTTTGGCTTGAGGTAATGCTAGGAAATTTGGAGAAGTTATACAAGTTTGGCATTCAAATTGATCAGCAATTAGTCAACACATCATAATCGCTCAATTTATCAACTACTTGGAAAAATCATGAATTAACATAAGATCAAGAATAATGTCAAAGAGATCAATAATAACCAACCAAAATTCAAGTCAAGTCATATACGAAAAACTAAACATCTCAAGTCTACCCGAATTTCGTGATGATGATATTGTTTAGAGGAGTAATAAATGCTTGACGATTAGACCAACCAACTCAAAAATACAACCCCAAGGAAGTTATTCCGAAATTATTTTTTTTTAGCTACGCTTATGAGCAAACATACGTTAATTTCTACCCTAACAAATGATTTTATTTTAATTTCAGGCTTTTACATTTGTAGAACTTTTCTATGGTGTATGGACGAATAGTTTAGGTTTAATTTCTGATGGTTTTCATATGTTATTCGATTCAGCAGCACTTGTAGTAGGATTATACGCTGCAGTAGTATCACATTGGAAACCGACACGTATATTTTCATTTGGGTAGGTCGTATACAGTGTTTTCATATAGTCTGCGGTTAACTATTATTGATTGTTTGGAAAGTGTTATTATGAAGTTGGCTGTTTTTGAATTGAATATTTATTCCATATATTAAATTAGTGCTGGACTTTATTAACGCCTGAATTAAAGATAGTGATTGAACTAGTTGAGTGTGTCGATCACTTCGATGGGATAGCTAGTGTTTGAAGAAATTTTAGCAAAAATTTAGAAAAATTAATTAGCTTTTCTCAGCTTGCCTCATTTGTTACACAGACGAGATATGCGTTGACCAAACAATAAACTAGTACTGTGCAGCAGATCTCTCCGTTCTTCTTTATGTCCATAAAATATAACCATTAAGAATAGGGAATATTCGTAGGTTACTAGTATTAGATGATAAGTGTCTTCAAAATATTGCTCGTATATGTTTGGACCATCAAGTTAACGACTCTGAGGTAAGACGCAGAGTACCAAGTTAGTAAGGCAAACTGATTGACGAGGTAGGAAATCCTCATTGTTTGAGATGGTTGGGATATATGTTACGTATGTTTACCCACAGTCTATCTTAATGGGGGACGTTTGCTGGTTTAGCAGTGAACAAAGCTAATGGTGGTCAGAACAAGTTCTCATCCTTCCGAAAAGCTATTGGCTGTTGAACTGAACCATGTTGGTAGATACAGACTACCTGATTGCAGTGAAGGTTGTAATCGACAAAGCCATCTAGTCGGTATATGATTAGAAGCTAACTTTATGATGCTGTTTCACAGTTTAGTGTAATTTATACGGTCGTTAAAGTCAACAATTAAACTGAAAGAATATTTTACACACTGTCTGGAAATGAAACTATCAGTAGCAATCGTATTACTGAGCATAATGTTACAACCGTTTCATAATGGTCATTCTCATTGTCAGTAATTATGAAAATCATTTTTGTAATATTGTTTACATTTTTGGGGATCTTATGATTATGTTTGTTTCAATTATCAATTTGAAAGAACTGCTGAGTTTTTCCATGTACTTTTCCAGATATAACAGTGCAGAGATTCTCTCTGGACTTGTCAATGCATTATTCCTATTGGTTATATCCGGATCAGTATTTGTCAATGCAGTTGTGCGTATTCATCAACCACCAGATATTAAAACTGACAAATTATTGGTAATTTTTAATTGCTCTTTTTTGTCTATTATAAAATTGGTGTATTAACTTTTCACTACTCAACATTTAAATGTCTATATAAAAGATTGATGAAAACGTTTTTGTCTATCTCTATTTATTTGTATGTGATTTATCATTATTCTGATTGCGAAAAACTTGAAAATGTATTTGGAAATTTAAACAGAATCACATATCAATCTTAATTTGTGTTTTTTAAAGTTTTTAATCTTATCAGATGTATTGCTTGGCATATGTGAACTTGCAGACAGACAGACAGATACAACGCAGAACTTCGTACGTAAGTACATCGGTTGCCATACCACATCAGCACAGAGAAGCAACTGTCAGTTCAAATCTCGTAGTGGTAGTATCAGAAGTTTTAGCAGTCATGGAGAAGATTAGGGTTTGAAGATGTGATTCAAGAAGTATAATTCAATGAAATAACTTTAGAAAGAGAAACAGAGTTGATCAGGGATTCAGGAGGTTGGAATTTGAGAGAACACAATGAATGAATGCACCTGAGCCATTGTAAACGATTCTGAGCCATCTCATTCATGGTCTCTAACCATTGGTGACTTTCGTCTCGCAGACCCCAACCAGGTAGTCTACATCTACCAACATGACTCAGTCCACTTGCCAGTGACTTCATGGATGTGTGCCATGTTTTGGTTTGGTCGCCCCTAACTTTCTTCCAACCTACTCCTACACTGCAAAACATAGCTCGTCGCGACAGTCGGTGGCTAGGCATACGAAACACATGTCCGAACCACCTCAACTGATGAAGTTTCACTACTTTATCTATTGGTTTGCCATCACTACCTAGAACTCGTAGACCGCTTCACTTATCTTGGGAGTCTCATCAGTGCCGATGGCCTGATGACTGACGAAATCTCAGCTCGGATACAGAAGGCTCGATTGGCTTTTGCCAACCTCCGTCACTTATGGCGTAGGCGTGATATCCGTTCTCTAATCAAAGGACGAGTGTACTGTGCAGCAGTTCGCTCCGTTCTCCTATATGGCTGTGAAACATGGCCAGTGAGAGTAGAAGATATTCGTAGGTTACTGGTTTTCGATCATAGGTGTCTTCGAAGCATTGCTCGTATACCGTGGGACAACCGAGTGAGCACTGCTGTCGTTAGGAAACGAGTACTAGGTAAGGATGGCAGATCAATAGATGAAGTGGTGAAACTTCATCAGTTGAGGTGGTTGGGACACGTGTTGCGTATGCCGAGCCACCGACTGCCTCGAAGAGCTTTATTTTGTGGTGTAGGAGTAGGTTGGAAGAAAGCTAGGGGCGGCCAAACCAAAAATGGCAGAAATCCATGAAGTCATTGACTAGTGGACTTAGCCATGTCGGTAATTGTCGACTACCTGGTTGGGGTCCGCGAGATGATAATAATCGATGGTTAGAGACCTTGAATGACATGGCTCAAAATCGTTCGCAATGGCGCCAGTGCATTTATTCTTTGTGTTCTCTCAAATCCTAATCTTCTGGATTCTTCAACAACTCTAGTTTTGACTTTCTAAACTTTTCTCATTAAATCATACTTCTTGAATAATATCTTCTAATTCTAACCTCTCCGATTACTTCTAATTCCCTTACTACCTGTAATACTATTGGATTTGAATTGACAATTACTTCTCTGTGCTGATGTGGTATGGCGACATGAACTGATGTACTTACGTACGAAGTTCTACGTTGCATCTGACTGACTCGTTTCCTAACGACAGCATTGCTTACTTGGTTGTCTCAGGATACACGAGCAATGCTTCGGAGACATCAATGATCGAATACTAGTAACCTACGAATGTCCTGTACTCTTAACGGCCATTTTTCTCATTCGTACAGTAGGACGGAGCGAACTGCTGCACAGTACACTCGTACTTTGGTTAGCAAGCGGATATCTGACCTGCCTCATAGCTGACGCAGGTTGGCAAATTCCAATCGAGCCTTCTGTTTCCGTGCCGAGATTTCGTCAGTCACCAGGACATGAGCACTGATGAGATTCCCCAGATAAGTGAAGCGGTCTACACGCTTGAATACTTCACTACCTATCGCTAGTTCAGGTGCCGATGAAACCCAATCTCGAAGCAGCATTTTACATTTCGAGGGTGAGAACCGCATCCCGAACATGCTTGCATTGTTGCTTAGGGTGGTTGGAAGACTATATCATCGGCATATTCTAGATCAGCAAGCGATTTTTCTGGTAGAAAGTCGACTCCTGAAAAGTCGGACGAGGATAAGTTCATATATTAGCAGCATGTCTATGACAAAATTAAACAAGAATGGCGAAAGTTATGTGAACTTTCACATCAATTCATCAGTATAATTTAAAATAGCATATCTTTTGTCTTCTTCTTTCTACATCAACTCATTAACAGATGTCTATTCAACTTGAAGAACTAACTATGAATAGGGATGGTGGAAACGATTGACGCAGACTATCTGACTAGTGTCCTCGTGATCGCTGTAATCAGTGATTAAAAACGTTGCATAACATGGCAAATCATTCACAGAGGGGTGTATGCACTGATTGCTTTTCTTCTTATGGATCTTAAGTTCTATTAGTAACAGTTTATCATGTATAGCTTCATATTTTGTATTTTTATATCATATTCAGCGGTCTTGATAGTCACATAGCTTCGAAATGTTCAAAGTTGCTTTGCTTCTCTTTGAATAATCAGATGACATCCTTGATTTTTATGCAGTGATTTTGACTAATAACTTGGGTAGTAGAAATTAATTCATTGAAAATTTGGCTCTTGTCTTTTCTGGAATTCTACAGTCTGTAGATATTTCCTCTATCGTTTCAATGCCCATTACGAGTTTGCTAAGTCTTCTGTTAAATAACACATATTCATGAATGTAATAAAGCTTTCACTGGAATTAATGCCGTCGGTCTTTATTCTAAGCTAACGATAAAATTTCTGTTTGATTTCCTTTGTTTTTTTTACCCACATTTTCACTTTTTCTGTTTTAGGCTGTATCTGTTTTAGGCTTACTTGTAAATATTGTTGGTGTTGTCGCTCTGGGTCATGCTCACAGTCATGGGGGCCATGGTCACAGTCATGGAGGACATGGCCACAGTCATGGTGGACATAGTCACAGCCATAGTCATAGCAGTTCTCACGGTCATAGTCATGGTGACAGCTCTCATGGACATTGTCATAATCACGAGAATAGTCACAACCATAGTCGAAATCATAGTCACAGTCCAAACAAATCTCATTCTCATCACTCTGATCATGAGCCTACTGTAGCAGTTCATGATGAAGAACTTCATTATGGTCATACGTGCGGACAGCAGCGTCATTGTGGATCACATAAACCACATAAATCTGAAACAGAAGATGCTAACCTACGAGGTATATTTTTAAAAGTTTTTAACTCTTATTTATCCCAGCTCATATACAAATTCAATGATTTGTGTGACGTGCTAAATATTTGGGTGTCACTTTGTATCACTGTTTGTGTCTGAATAAATAAATATAAATCCTTTCCTATGCCCAAGTTGTGGTTACAGAAATAGGATTATAGTGTTTTTCATGTTAATACTATAATATTTGCTGTACTGTGTTTAGTAGATGTCATATCAGTTGGAGGATTTACATCAATTTGCCATCCAAGTTGACTGAAGATCGTGGGTAACCGAACTGTAGCTGAAGGCCGATTCAACTACTCCTTAAGGTGTTTTGGGAATTGATCCAATCTCCTGGATTGAGAATGAATAATATACCCAACTTTTTCGGCGATAGTCTTGTCAACAGTCTCATTTTTAATATCGGTTTCCTTGTTAAGTTGTAATAGTTGTTTACAGTTACATAAAGACAGCGACAATAGGAAACAGATGGGCAGAATACAATGGAGCAGTTCAACTGGCCTCCAGACACACCTCAGTTACCTACGATCTTCAATCAACGTGGATGGCAAATTGATGCAAATCCTCCAACTCTTATGTCATCTACTAAACATAATACAGCAAAAAAATAATTCAAATGTGCTCTGGGAGTCAGAAGGTCTTCATTTAGCAGAGTTATGACGTCTCATGATGGAAGCAGAGTTCCTTCGAAAGTCATTAGGCCGATGCCCCCTTCTGACAATTAGAACCTTTCCACGGTGTGGGCAGCCGAGAAGCGACATCCGCCCTCATACCCATAAAAGCTCACGAAACTGAATTGGTCACCATCAAATCCTTTCTGCACCTCCTCGTCCAACGCTTCTTTCGATCGTTTGTCACCTCGCATCTCTGTGCTGATGTGGTATGGCGACATGAACTGATGTACTTACGTACGAAGTTCTACGTTGCAACTGACTGACTGACGCACCGCTGAAGCAAACGGTTTGAGCTGACGAAACATTTGTGGTCTCCTGAAACCCCGCACTACATTATATATAGGAGCTTTTGATGTTCAAACCTTGTTCCAAATAGGGCAACAGGCTTCATTAGCTAGAACTCTGGAATCCTGGGCGATCGATGTATGTTGCGTCTTCGAAACGCTCATACACGATCCGAGTGAAACCATCAATTCGATTCCACCTAGCGCACATAGAGAAACAACACGGTTTACGCTTCATGTTTCCGGTAGCCCTGATGCTGCTTCCCATGGCCTCACTGGCGTAGGTATAGTATTAAGTCCTAGGGCAGAACAAGCTCTCTTTGACTGGATCTCGGTAGAGAGTCGCTTATGTACTGTCCGACTAAACGTGACAGTACGGACTCGTATCTGCTTACGCTCCGACTGTTTGCAGTTCAGACGAGGTGAAAGATGAGTTTTACAAAAAGCCTCTCAAAACTTCAAAAAGTTAAGCGCTCTGATACAGTTATAATGGCTGGTGACTTTAATGCTCAAGTAGGTAGTCTAGGTGAAAAAGAAAGGCACCTGAGTGAATCCTATGGTATCACGGCTCAAACAACTGATAATGTCGACCATCTGCTGCAGCTGTACACAGACAGTCGCCTATTTCTAGCAAAGATTAACGTTAGGCATAAGAAAAAACATTTGACTAAACTGAGGAACAATGCAAGCATATTCGGGATGTCGATTCTCCCCCTCGAAATGCGAAATGTTGACACAAGATTGGGTTGTGTCGCTATCTGAACTAGTGATAGGGAGTGAAGCAATTGAACGTATTGACCGCCTCACTTATCTTCGGAGTCTCATCAATGCTGGTGGTCTGGTTTGTGACGAAACCTCAGCATGCCTAAAGAAGTCTCGATTGGTTTTTGTCAACTTGCGTCACTTATAGCGTAAGCGAAATATCTGTTTGGCAACCAAAGAAGGAGTGTACTGCGCAGCAGTACATCGTAATAGTTTTCTATTAGGAAGAACAGAAAACAATGTTAATTCCTGAAGTACTTTGTACTTTTTTGCTTGTTCTAGACCGGTTTTCATGAAATAGCTTTAAATTTTGTTAAGCAAAATTTCAAATAAGTTTTGCACTATAACCTTCATTTTCGATTTAGATGACTGTTTAGTATTTCTTGTTCACATATACATATACATTATAGCTTAAATTCTGGTACATAGATCTGTACTTGGCAAATGAGTAGTGTTGTTATTCAAGACATAAATTTTGTCGTTCATTAGCAGAAGATGAAATATGATTATTTTTCTCTTGTTCTTATAATTTTTATATCACACTTTCTTTGGTTATGCGCTTATTCTATTTTCTATTTTTTGTTTAATAATAGGTGTGTATTTACATGTACTTGCTGATACTTTAGGTAGTGTCAGTGTAATATTTAGTTCATTTCTAGTGACTACTTATGGTTGGAATATAGCTGATCCTATTTGTTCAATGTTTATTGCTTGTGTAATTGGTTATTCAGCGATGCCTTTATTGAATGATACACTTAGTTTGCTTACTTTAAAAGTACCAGATGAATTTAATTCTAAATTAATGGTTAAAAAAGTAAGTTGTCGAATAACTATTGTATTATTTAGCCTATTGTAAATAAGTTCAGTTTAATCCGTTTTGTATAACAAAAAAAAGAGGAAAGTTATCGGGTTTGGTATTCTCAAGATGAGAACAACGAGCTTTGTTTTGTAGTGTAGGAATAGGTTGGAAGAAAGTTAGGGGCGGCCAAACCAAAACATGGCAGAAATCCATGAAGTCACTGACAAGTGGACTTAGTCATGTTGGTAGGTGTCGACTACCTGGTTGGGGTCCGCGAGATGATAATAATCGATGGTTAGAGACGCTGAATGACATGGCTTAAAACCGTTTGCAATCGCGCAGGTGCATCCATTCTTTATGTTCTCTCAAATGCTAATCTTCTGAATTCTTCAACCCTTCTAGTTTTGACTTTCTAAACTTTTCTCACTGAATCATACTTCTTCAATAATATCTTTTAATCGTAACCTTTCCGATTACTTATAATACCTTTCCTACCTCTTCTACTATTGGATTTGAACTGACAATTACATCTTTGTGCTGATGTGGTATGGCAAAATGAGCTGATTTGCTTACGTACAAAGTTCTACGTTGCATCTGACTAACTGACTGAGATGAGAACAATTAGTGCATTAAAGACATCTTAAATGATGATACCAAATATATCATAGCTGCTACGTAGATATAGTCACTATTTCGAATCTTAACGATTTCATTATTCATCGTATATTCTCCTATATAGACTTTGACTGTTTTGTATAGTTCCTTTGTATACTATTATATATGCCAACTTGAATTTCTTAATCATTTATAGGTAAACAACACTGTGTCCGCTGTTTGATGTGATTGATTATGTCGCTGCTCGTTAGGTTTTCACATATCTTAAATAGCAATATTCTATACTAATCAATCAATCAATCAATAGCATCGTAGAGCTCCGTACGTACGCACATCAGTTCATGTTGCTATAGCACATTAGCACAGAGACGCAAATGTCAATTCAAATCCCATAGTAGTAGAGATAGTAAAGGTATTAGCAGTAGTCGGAGAGGTTAGGATTAGAAGATATTATTCAAGTAGGATCTAATGAAATAGACTTAAAAATATAAAGATAAAGTGATGAAGAATTAAAAAAGTTTAGGATTTGAGAGTACACAGTAAATGAATGCACCTGCGTTATCGCAAGCGGTTTTAAGCCATGTCATTCAGGGTCTCTAACCATCTCGATTACCAACATCTATACTGAAACAGTTAACAACTCTTGTTAAAGTACACATATTTCCTTGTCTAATTGTCAAACTATCTGAATACATATAAATAGTTTAGTTGACCTTTTTAGTTTATTATCTTATATTAGTCTCGTGATTTATAAATTTTTTTTTTAAATATTGTTCATTTATTAAATTCTGTTTATACTGATAAAAAGCTTACGCAATGATTGTGAGTAGTGGTAGGCAGCGGCGGACTTATAAGAGATAGAAAAGGCAATGGCAGTTGGTCAGTCAGTCAGATGCTACATAGAACTTCGTACGTAAGTACATCAGTCCATGTTGCCATACCATATTAGCACCGAGATGTAATTGTCAATTCAAATCCAATAGTAGTAGAGGTAGTAAAGGTATTCGAAGTAATCGGAGAGGTTAGGATCAGTAGATATTATTCAAGAAGTATGATTCGCCCTCAGATCTTGAATAGCTACTTTTAGGCTCATCGTTCTCCAGTTGACCTGCCTGGCATGGTAGAAACTACAGGAACATGTGTTCCAGCCAATATAGCTCGGTTGGGTCATCGCGATAGGCAAACCTGACCACCATGTCAAGGTAGCAGCTACGGTCGGTTCGGTAAATAGTAGACAACTGTTCAAACTTATTCAGAAAACAAATACCGATAATTTGAGTGTTATTTAGACTATCATGACAAAAGATGGGGCTGTTATTTATTTTCCATCCAGAAGATTGAAGTGATATACAGAACGCTCTATTGAATATTTCAAATGGCTTTCAGCTACTCCTTAGTTAAACATTGCTTTCAAACAAGCTGAATAGAGCAAACTGGTATGAGTTCTTCAAATCTTAGTGAGTTTGAAATGATCATTGGTAATTTAAAGCGACGGATCACATAAGGTTCAGATGGTTAAACACTGAAAGTCTTTAAGGATAGTGGTCGAGTTTTAGCAGTTTGACTGATTGAGATCTTAGCTAGAATCTGAAAATTGGACATAAGTCCATCCTACTGGTTTCAATCATTCGTTATCCCAGTTAATCAGGAGGACTCGGTTTAACTAATGTAGTGTCTAAAATATTAACTTCAATAATAGTCGTGCACTTAGGTAGCGCTTATTTTTATTTCGTCTTTTTAGTGGAATGTATCAAATTATAAATCAGGTTATCAGAATAATATCCAATAAACAACTAGTTCTTTTTTTTACTGCATATTTATTTAGTCATAGGTAGGATAAACTAATGAATCGTCATCGGTTGAGGTGGTTAGAACATGTGGTACATGCATTTAATCGATGTATTCCTCGATTCACTATGTTGTGTGGTGTAGGAGTAGGTTGAAAGAAAGGAATGGCTTAACCTGTTACGCCTGTATGTAAACACTTCAACTTGATATACCTGAATTATTACGAGTTTACCGTAGTCAGCAAACGAGAGCGAGGATCGAAGATCCGGCGCCACGACGTGTTACTCCAATCTGAGTGTCCCGAACCCCGATTGAGTAAAAGAAGAAGACTTGATATGAAGTAGAACGTGTATTCTACAAACATCCAGAAAGTACGAGGTCCAAGTCCAGAAGAGGATAAGGATGCCGAACTAGGGATCCGGGTCCCGGTCGGGGTCATAAAACGTTACAGATAATGCATATTTATACAGTTACGTTGAATAGGAAACAACATTGAAGTATGTGACATTGACTGTTAGGAGACGACCAATAAGAAACCACATTTGAAGTATGTGACATTGATAGTAAGGATGACCAATAGGAATTGACCAACAGAATTAGACTTACAAACAATTATTTTAAGATATCGGATGAATATCCTAACAAAACCACAACATGACTTCAGTCCATGTAGTCATGAACAGTTAATCTTATCCATGCTGATTGATACAGATGAACCAGTTAGAGTCTAAGTAATCGCCTCAATAATTTGCTAAAAGCATTGAATACCATTTATCTAAATCATTGACAATGATGCAGATGTATCAGTTAATTTAATTTCACATGTACTTTATTTTTATTTTATTTTTTTTCTAATCAACCTGTAGATATTACAAGTGGATGAAGTTGTTTCTGTTTCCAATCCATTCATTTGGACGCATACACATAATTCTGTTTGTGTTTGTGTAACAGTTCGAATTCAGTCCAATGCTTCAGAACAAGTGCTATTACGAAAGGTAGTTTTCAATACTGTATTTTATGATTCGAATGAATATTTTCTATAATCTGTGATTATAGTGTTACTTTTTACATTTGCATTTAGACTTTTTATTTTCCCACAATTCTCCTCTATATCTGTGTTCTTTCAAATGTGACTGATTAAGTCTTGACCTTCCTTGAATACCTATGAATTTTCCATTCATGCTAGCCTATTTAAGTCATTGAATATTCAGTTTTAGCGTATTAATGTTAAAATGAAAAGTATATACTAATCATGAAAAAGTATTTCATAATTCTAACATACTGACGTTAAATTTTTACTGTCTGCTAAGTTTGTCTGATAAATGAAATTTAATGTTTTCGTAGATGTTTAGGGTCTTCAGTGATGTTAGGAAAAGT